GCGCTGTTTTCTGCGAATGCCGCGCTGTTCTGGCCCATGTGGGGTGGGGGGGAGGAACAGGTGCGGGAGGGTATAAGAGGGATGACAGGTGGGCGTGCTGTGTTGGTTCTGTTGGCGGGCGATGGTGAAGTTCGGGGAGAGACCTGTAATGTTCTGTTTTGTTACTTTTTCCAGTGTGTACATAGTGCTGCGTTTTGCAACCCTTTTCTTTCTTGTTTTCGTACGCCTGAATAAAGCCAAGAAAAGACAGAAATGGTGTTCTCCTCCTTGTCAGTCTAGGTGCCAGCACACAGCTGGATAGTTAGATGTCCCAGTAAAGGATAGGGTCAGACCAGCTCCACTCATCTGAACCAGTGGAGTGCCACATTGGTGTTAGAAGTGGGATTACGCGCTCGTTGAACGGCAACATGGAGAGGAGTCTGGCCGAATTAAAGAGGGAAATAGAGGAGAACACCTTCCAGCTGGGGTGGCTGGAGAGAAGGCTACACCTGGAGCCAAGGACCGGTGTTCGCCCAGACGGCACGAGTGTGCCACGGCTAGCCCGACGGAAAGCCAACAGCCACACGTCAGACTTGTCTGCAGCCAGGGCAGTGCCGAACTCCGGGGGTGAGTCGCGCCTGGCACCAAGGTCAGAACTAAAGCTGCCCAGGTACGGAGGACTGACCCCGCTTGAACCGTACTTGGCTCAGCTCGACCTTGCAGCTCGCCACGGAGGTTGGAGCCAGGAGGAGACAGCAGTGCGGCTGGCACTCGCTCTGGAGGGTGACGCACTGCAGGTCCTCCTCGACCTCTCCCCGGAGGAACAGATGGATCTGCCCGCCCTGAAGACTGCACTTCACCGGCGCTGCGGACAGAGTGTGTCAGGTGAGCGGTCCAGAGAGGAGCTAGCAGCTCGGCACCGTCGCGAGGGAGAGAGCCTGGGAGCCTTCGCCGCGGACCTGCAGCTGCCTAGGCGCCTGTCCCCGCAGCGGTGAGGGACGAGCTGGGCCTCCAGGCTTTTCTGTGCGGCCTCGCCCCTGAGCAGCTCCGCCAACATGTCCGCCTGGCAGCGCCCCGCAATGTCAGCGAGGTGCTAAAAGAGGCTGAGCGGGTAACGGAAGT